GTATTTGAGGACCGTACAGGCATTGCTGTAATGCCTGTACGATCCGCACTTGTGACATACCCTGGGCTGACCAGGGTAAAAACAGGATACCCGGTCAGCCCCGATGAAAAAACTATTAGGCATATGCTGTGTGACACCTCGAATCTCCCGCAGCAACACTGAAACAGTCCATCCGCCTGTCCAAATCCCATCCTCATCTAAGATCTTAACAGGGGGGGGATTTAACATCCCCAAACCTCTTAGTCCAAACAAGGATGTCTGCTATGGGGATGGATTCATTTCTCACCAGGAAAGTGACCTTCTTAAGACCCTGGCGAGAAATGGCCACAGCGGTGAATCCTGCCCACTTTGTACCCTGTGCAGACCTGGCCGCTTCCCACCCAGCCCAGAAGTGATCCAGGAGCTGCGACGTCATAAAGGAGACGAACTCCCGGGTGCCCGAGGCATGGATGAGCGCGTACAGGTCCACGGGCGCAAATCCCATATCCTTTAGCCGGGTCACCAGCCACCGTCTGTCAGGCACCTGGGTCTCACCCCCACAGATGAGCCGTACCACGTTCCTCCTGTTCCCAAAGGAAACCTGAGGATGCGTAGCAGGCCCGTCCGCAGAGAGGCGAGGTGGCCCAGATGCCCAAGCATTGGGGACCCGCCATCTGGGAATGATTCGGACGGAATCCCCTCGCTGAACCAGAGGCCTCGGTCACACCAGAACCCTGGGTGACAACCTGGGAGTGCCTAAGGGGAACCCGTGTACCTGCTTGTGCGTCTAAACTATTTATAACCGCTGCACCCTTTGTCAGGGTGCCTGTGCCCGTGCTCGTGCCCGCCACCTGTGTACCAACTAACTCCAGTGAACCAGGGGCAGGGGCAACATAACCTGAGGCGGGGGCAACATAACCAGGGGCAGGGGAAACAGTACCAGGGGCAGGGGCAATAGTACCGGGGGCGGGGGCAACATAACCAGAGGCAGGGGCAACAACACCAGGGGCAGGGGCAACAACACCAGGGGCAATAGTACCGGGGGCAGGGGCAACAACACCAGGGGCAGGGGCAACAACACCAGGGGCAGGGGCAACATCATTAATACAAACAGGCTGGCTGTGGACCTTTTTACTAAGGCCAATAGGTCCCATCATTACATTTACAGTTACATCCATACTCCCATCCTCCTCAGCCATCCCTAAACCACCAGTGGAGTCAAACACAATGTTAGTCATACTTTTCTTACCTCCACTGGTGGTTTCCTCAGTATGGACTGCTGGCTGAGGATGATGGGAGTCCCCTGCAGT